ATTTGACCTAGTTCCTATACTTGTTTTTTTATTAAGAAAGTAACTTCTCAGGTATTATGTTCATGTGAATTTCTGTATTTAAATACACATCTACAAAGTAGAAGAATACAAAAATAACTTCAGGAAAAACTACTCTTTCTATACACCTGCAAATCCAAAGAAACACTGGACATTTGCCCACTGATAACTTCAGACACTTAAGCAAATTTTGGTCCTTCGCATGTTACTCAAGCTTCCCTAATGAATGATGGTTAGCTTAGGTGTTATTTGGCAGGGAGCTAACAAGGCCTCATTTAAAAAAATGTGTATTACTATTGTCCTGTCTAAGGGATGTTTTTTACAGTTCACTGTTATTATGCTGAATTAGCTCTGCAGAGAAAACTTGAGGAAACACATGTTCAACAACATAGAGTATAAATTATGCATCTTTGGGCAACATACATATGGTAGATACCTGAAGGGAGAGTCTGTCAGTTCAATAACAAGCCTTTAAATAAAAACAGGAAAGTTCTTGGATCTCTAGGGCTCCTATACTGCCATTTATTTTATATCAACAGTATATCTGTCTAGATCCTGGCACTGTATGTTTGTAAATGAGCGTGTGTGTGTGTGTGTGTGTGTGTGTGTGTGTGTGTGTGTGTGTGTGTGTGTGTGAGAGAGATTAAAGTAATGAAAAGTGTGAATCTCCAAAGACCTCCAGGTTTAGAAGGGGAAAACAACTGTTAGTGAGTTTTTGAGCGACCCTTGGGATCTATCACGTCCCACCCTTCAGGACACGTATTTCCAGTTCTTTCTGATCATCCTGTTTGGTAGCTTTCATGTTTTTTCATGCTTTCCCTAAAGGGAAAAGATTATTCAACTATTAGGTCATCTTGTACAACTGCTTTTCTTTCTCAAGAGTCTTCTTTTTCCAGAAAGGTACTTCAACTGAAATTGTAGAAGAGCTTTCTAAAGGATGAGATACTGTTGACAAGATTACAGCCAAAGCCAGCATGACTTGACACTGTGTCAACACCATAAAAAGAAAATAAGGTAAAGTTTTTCTGCAGTCATTCTATGAAGCATCTTTTTGGAAATTTCATAACAGATAAAATGGAAAAGTTTTTTTTCTCTGCCTTTCCAGTGTTTGCATTCACACAAATATTTTTACACCATTAGCTATAGTGGCAACAGAGCTTCAACATAGATGGCAATTCCGAGAGAAAAGAATATCCATTTAAAATGTATGGTTTTGTCAAACACAGTTCTGAGATAGCAAAGAGCTTTTATCATCAAGCAAACATGACATTGCCAAAAGGCTGCCTCCTTCTCTGGCTTTTAACCTCACAGCAATACCACTTTACCTTACGATAGCTTTAATGTTCAAACACTAAGAAGAGTCTTATGGTGATGCCTCAAGGTGTGGGAAGTATTCAATAGGGGTCATTCCCCACTGTGTTGATATGGTATCAAAGTGCAATATGTAAACTCATTTTCATGAGCATTTGCTTGCCCTCCTATTGACTTTAGAGACTGGGCAACCACAACAACTGGCCATGTTGCAGTTGAGCATCCATGGTTTTGGAGGCAATGCTGGTAATCAAATTTCATTTATTTCTTTGCTGGTTTCTCCACCTTGGCTGTGCTACCTGTCATGGAATAAGCTGGTTCTGTGTGCACTGCATTCTTGGGAGCATTGTTTGTCTCTCTGGGGTGGGCAGGAGCCCTGGATAGGTCCTGACACTGAAGTCTCCATGCACAGTGCTTTCCACTGCAAGAAAACCCGAGTGTGCAAGGTGGCTTGTCTTAAACTAAAGAGCTGATCAACTAGCAGGTACTCTTTGCAATAAACCTGCTTTGCTGACCTAGAAACCCAAAAGCATTTAATTTATCAGCTATGGGTTTGCCTTTGTCCTGCAGGTCGTTTCTAGTGCTGGGTGGTGATCCATCACCTGTGAATCATTAATTCCCAGCTGGTGTCACCATCTGTGGCTCCAGCCATTGTACTGGTAGTGGCTTTTCCTTGATACAGGTGCACATTGTGATTACTCTATCACACACTGTTAGTTTTGGACCACAGGAGGTTTCATGGGAGCTATTTCTGGGGGGATAGATGGACAGAGAGACACAGAGAGGAAACTGTGTGAACAGCAATCAATGTTGTCCTGATACCTTACCGGGGTAAATTTTCAAGCTCTTTTCAGTGCTCTTAGGGCACAAATAGACCTTAATAGCCCAGATCAGACTCACATTGGCCTCTCTCACGCCCTCTGACAATGGGCCCAGAATCCCCATTTAAACGTAGCCCTGGTCTTTTGGTTCTTGTCTGAACTATATTATGGGTATGCTTGTACTCCGTTCTGTCTTTGACCAGTCTCCTGGGTGGGCCTCTAGCTCTGCCTCCTGGTGGTTATGACTGGACTCTGGAATGTCCTCTGAACTTGATTTGTCAACTTGCCTTACTGGATCATATTATTCTAACCCTGGGGGTTGCTTGCAATGGAATCACTCTTGGCCTCTGGCTTATCCCCTATCATGAAACAATCTTTCTCTTGCTGTTCTCTGACACAGTCATAGGTCTTGACAGAAATCCCCATTTGAAATTTTGCGTAAGGGATTATTTTGTGTGCTGTTTGGTTACCTAATTTTAGTGTATCTTGTTCAAAAACCCACAAGCTATGCTTATCATATAGCAATATTTAATCTGTACTCATCCTACGTACAGTATGTTTGAGCCTCTGGAAATGGAAGCAAACGATGAAGATGATGATTCACCTAGGTTGGAGGTATTGCCAAGGTTAAATGAGCAGCTGAGGTCACTTGGCTTGTTCAACTTAGAGAAGGCTGAGATGAGGCTTCATCAGTCTATTAACTTTCTCCAAGGGACAGTGAAGGGGGAGGTGCTGACCTCCCCTTTTTGGTGACCAGTGATAGGACATGAGGAGATGGAGTGAAGCATCAGGTGAAGTTCAGATTGAACGTTAGGAAAAGGTGCTTCATTGAGAAGGTGGTTGGGCACTGGAATAGGCTCCCCAAAGGATGTGGCTAGGGCACCAAGCCTGACAGAAATTAAGGACTATCTGGACAGTGCTGTCATATATTTTAGTGTCCTATATTTTAGACCTGTGAGAAGCAGGGAGTTGGACTGAATGATCCTTACAGGTCCCTTCCAGTTTAAGATATTCTATGACTTACAAAGCCCAGGACACTTCCTACTGGCTGTACGAAGGCAATATTATTATAGGAACAAGGCATTCCTATGAGGAAAATGAACAGTACACTTGCTGATCTAACTCTAATCACCATTTTAGAAAGATAGAGCAATTTGCATCCAATTGGGTATTAGGAAGCAATGCTGCTTGATGAGTTGGCAGGAATTGCATGCTCTTTTTCCAGTCTTGTCTGTCTGCTGATGGGTCAGCTGTGCTGCTGAACAGCCAACATGTCCTCTGACCATGGGTGGATGGCACAAAAAGAAGGTACGCTGTTGCAAGCTGATTAGAGAATTGGGAAAAAGATGTTTCAACACACTGGTTTATGCACAGGGCTTCTGTAGCCTTGATAATGTAGCCAATTGCCTGGACTGCAGGGAAAAGAAAGGTGAAAGAAGGAGCTGAGGAACCCATCTGAGCTATCTGTAGATCTGAGCTAATAATAGCCATCAGCAGCTAAAGCAGATGGGGTCAATGAGCTCTCCTCTCTCCTCCTTCACTGCTGAATTCACAACCATAGCTTGGAACATGTTGTAGTTGTCAGTCATTGTACAGGTAGCAAATTACTGAGCACCTTAAATAAAGAGGGAAGAAAAGGGCATGTACCATGAGAGGTTAATTTGTAAAGCATGATGGCCCTCGGGCCTACAGAAGGGCTCCACATCTTCATTAACACAGGTTATTTTTGTGTGAGTTGCTCTGTAGGGAATTTTAATGTTCAGTAGGCATCAGTGATGTAAGAATTGGGTGGGGGTACCCTGAACGAGAAATGTGACAGTGGCCATGTCTCGAGAGGCAACCTAAACCTTAACCCATATCTAGATCATACACAACTTATCCAAGAGCTGTGGAGATGGTGGAGTCTGGTTTCCTATGGTTTTGTCTTGCATCCAAGTGGATGCGTACTCGCATTGTTTCTGCAGGACTAGATTTCAGGACATTCCACTCTGCACTCAGCCAGGGTATCCATGCAGTAGCCTTCTCAGTGGGAGAGTTTATAAGGGTGTTCTCCTCACTATCGGCTTGCCTATTTTTCTTGCTGGAGGAACTTAAAATATCTGAGGCTGGCAAGTTTTTTTTACATTGGACTGGCTGGCCAGCAGGATTAAAGGTTACTAGAAGGAGACTGAGTCAAGTTATGCATACACATAAACATACATACAGTGCACAATTACATAAACCTCAGTGCCTTAGGAAACTAAGCTATAAGTAGCATGAGGTGTTGTAGGATTATATGAAAAATGGTATTTTCCTCAAATAGCTAGAGAGTCAGTTAAGTTTGTTTGGACACCTGGTGGTTCAATAACATCTGAACATGTATATACACAGAGAGAGAAAATTATCAGCAGAACAAAAGGAGATGAAAGAAATCCACCCTGAAAGTATACACATGTCACTGACATTTTTGAAGTGTGAGTGTGTTGTATACACAAGTATACACAAGCAGGTGTACTGAGCAGTGGGCATAATTTAAGGCATATTTCTTAAATAAAGAGTAATATATCCAAGATTGGTGGTGGAACTACATTTTCAAACCTAACTAGTGGAGTACTGTCCCGGCTGTAGAGGACAGTAAGTCCTTCTGCAGTGTTTTCCTTCAAAAGAAAAGAAATCCATTCAAAACACAACATCTATGGCCAAGTTGATTTGTCCTAAACAGCCCACTGCAGATGATTAAGAGCTACATTTGGCTCTGCTATTTGTTTCATGTGGAACAAGATGCTGTGGCAACCTATACATCGTCATAATGATCATGGCGTAGTTACAGAATCCCCCGTTGCTCCAGAAATGTCGTGTGGCTGATAGATTAGGGCAAGATGCTGCTCCCCATATTCAAGATTTGCCTCATGATAAGGATATTTTTGGGTAAGTTGCTCCACAGAGAATTCCTCCCCAGAGTTCAATATGCTTCAGTGATGTAGGAATTAGGTTAGGCGTCAGATGAAATCTGCAATCTTGTCTGATGTAACTGTAAATGATTGAGGTTAGGTTGCAGACAGCAGGAAACAGCTACTTAAATTCATTGTGACATGTACGTGGCAAGTTGTAAAATAATAATTTATAAAAACAAAGATGGCAGTGTTTGGTTCTGAATTATATCTTTGGAGCTATTTCGTTCCTTTAAAGTTTAAGTATCAAAAGCACTGAGTTCTTGTGCACAGTTGACTTCAATGTAGACATTTCTGAAAGCAGCTATAAACATATTTACCTCTCCAAATTTGATTAAGGCTCTGGTAAGTGCAAAATATTGTCAAATCTGTTTTGCATTCTCTCAGTTAATGTTTTGATGTCTGTCTTCAGCTTTATGCTACCACAGAGTTGGCAAGGCACAGACAAAGCATTTTTTCCCAGCTCCCAACCATATCATAAATTCCACAGGCTTATAAAGCAGTGTTTATTCTGCTGGCATTCCCTAATGCAGCAAGTATATAGATGCCTAGCAGGGAAAAGAGATGATTTGGGTACAAATAACTACTAATAGTAAAAATTTTACTGTACTGTGGAAGAAAATTTTCAAGGGTTAATTCACCACAGATTGCAATTGTTCTTCTAGAAAAGCTGCTTTGAACTATGCATGGCAATCTGACTCCCTGCTTGGGACTGCTGGAACTGAGCAATGATCCAGTGACATTCCCCAGGGAAGCTTTCTTGGCATGGCCTGTGCTCAGTTCCCTCCAAACCTGACATTCACAGAGAAGTAGAGAAAGAAATAGCATAGGGGTATCTACAACCTTGTAGCTGTCCTACAATCTAACTGAACTCAGTGCAGGAGGTGAAAAAGCATCTGTTTGGATGGGGGAGCATTCCCAGGTCCCAGGGATGAGGCACCATAGTCCCTTTCCCTCCTTCTCCTGGTATCTGAACAGATACTTCTCTATCTGGTATTATAACCCACAGACATTCAAAACTCTGTCATCCAGAAATAGGGTGATTTGTTTTAGTAATCAGATCATACTAATAAATATGATCTTTGCTTCTTTACCTTTTGGTGGTGCATCTACAGATCACCTTTTTTTTGATTTTTAGGGTTTTTTAATATTGACAGAAAAGGGATTTACTTCTCTCTCATTCATTTATTTGCCAGGGGTATTTTTCCATACCAATTTTTAAAGTTTTCATGCAGCACCAATGAGCATGACATTTTCTTTAAAATATGTAGATTGGAGTTCTCTGTTAAACCAAGGCAGAGGGTTTAAGAAAGATACCAAATATCACGTTTCACACTAAAACAAGTGGACTAAGTAAAATAGAACGAGTCCAATGATTAGCAAAAACACAACCTCGATAGCATGTATGAGAATCAGACAGGCTTCACAAAACAATGCCAGACAGCAAGACAGAAAACAAATAATTTCCTTATCAGGTGATGCCCTCAGAAAAGAGCTTCATGACCCTGGAGTGCTGAACACCTCTGAAAAACTGAGGTTGCAAGAAATGTAAGGAAATTATGCTCTAGAGGTCAAAAGTCCATAAAGGAAACTTGGCATAGCCAACCTGAAAAAACATGATTAGGAGCTTGATTCTGACTTCATATGCTACAGACTGTCTTAAGTCGAGCCCCCCTGAGAGTCACTTATCTCAGTTGAACTATAGTTTTGTATTGAACATGGAAGTTTTAGTGGTTTGTAGCATTTGAATAAATGTTTTGAATAGCCATGCAACTGACAGGTGCTTCTGCAGGGCTCAACTCTTGTGGGTCTCAGGCTCTGGTTCAGCCCCCAGAGCACCTAGGCACCTCATTTGCCTGCTGTTCTTTCTCAACCTGGGCAAAGCCATGATAGGCAGCTATCTCTGTTGTTCTGTTCTGTACAGTTCAGAACAAGACCACCAACACTCAACAGATGTGACTACCCTACCTCACCACAATCTTTTCAGCAAGGAGCCGGGTAAGGGCTAGATTTCCTTGTTGAAGTGAGCAGGGCTATCAGCAAGTCCTGTCCAAGAGCCATAAGCATTCTTCATTCCTAAATCATATGGCTTGGCTTCTGGGAAGAAAATTATTGGTCTGTGCTGGTATGCAATAGCCTTTTAATCAAGTGACTGAGGCTTCTTTTTTGTTATTTAAAAATACAGACCTGGTAACAATCTATAATGATTCACTGAGAGCACTTTTCAGGTAAAGGTCTTGAGTAGCATCCTTCAAATTTTACTAAACTCTTGTGAGGTAAGAATTAATGTCTGGCTCTACACATGGGTACATTTTGCTCTGGGAAGGCAAGAGGCCAATTTCATAGAGGCAACTAGAACCTCATGGCACTCATAAACTTTGGAAAACACAAGCCGGGACGTTTTGCCCACAGTGGGAATGCAAGGTGACTGGTGTTCAATTCTCCAAGTGTTTTGCCTGCTTGTCATATTCTTTAGCCATTGGGCTCTTCTGCCTGGAGTGCCTGAGTGCTGTGGTCAAGGTGTACTGCAGGCTACTGCATGATTGCATGAGATGCACTCTGACTCAAGGCAGTCTGATTTTTTTTCTTCCTCAGATCACTTTTTCCCTGGTCTCTAGCTATACCTAGGCAGTGAACAGAGTAAAATGCAGAACTCCTAATAACAGTCACATTGAACTGAAAAAAATACTAGCTTTAATCCTTTTTGTCTGTGTCTCTGCATTTTCCAGCATCTATAAAATGTTATTACCTATATATTAAAATACAGCAGACGTTGGTCAAGCATTTCTACTTAAGACTTAAAGCTAAGCTTCCACAACCATCTATTGCTCCTGGAGTGAGACACTGGGGAATGGTTAAGCTTTCTTGGGTGTTTCATAAAGGCAGTAACCCTTATGTGAGCTGTTTCAAGAGTGGACTGAGTACTCTGTCAAGATGTTTAGCAGGGAAAGCCTCTGCACACAGAGGGTCGCTGTAGTCATCCCATCTCTTGGTGTCTGTGATCTTAGTATTGGATGTGATGTTAGTTGGGAACATTTGTTTTGGTTTTGGCAAGCATGTTTACTAAGTCCATTTCACTTGACTTCTTGTAAGTCAGTGCATATGGATTGTCTCCTTATGGTCTTTGTACTATGTTCACCATCTGATTTCTTTTAAATAGTGCATTAAGCAACTCAACTAGTTATCAAATTTGTGCATAGGAATATTTGAGAGGCATTTTATTTCTCCAGACACAAATGCTAATCCATTCATTAAATGCATTTACCAAAAAAACCTGCCAAAACCTACAGGAAATTATTTTGTGCCAAGAAAGTGTGAATATAGGAACTGTTGGTAAATTTGATTACTTTTTTCATCTTCAAATCACAGACTATTTATATTCCTATACAGAAAAAGCCAATAATATTTACAGAGCATGTTTAACATTCCTGAAGCAGATTCTTAAAGGATTCTCTTTTCCTTATCTTTTTCTACATGCTCTACAGGCACTGTTCTCGTATGCACAGAATGAGTCATCCATTCAGGGCATAGAAATCATATTCCCGTGCTGAGTCATGCTGGCCAGATACAGTGTTAAGCATCAAAAAACTGAGAAGATACTTGGCCTCAAAGAAGCAAATGGAAATGGAATGTGTCTTAACTATTACAAACATTTGTTGAGCAATTCTGACAAATATATAAAAATCATTACTATCTTGAGATTAGTAAAAGGAGTAGTTCCAGGAACAGAACTAAATAAACCTAATTTCCTATAAATCTATTTCATTAAGAAAATATGTAGAAATCCTTTAATAATCTATTAAATTATTTAAATCTATTTATTTATCTTAAATCTATTTATTATTCTTGTCTTTGGTTTGAAAAGGATGAGAAGTTCAGTGGAAATCTCTTTCATTACAGAACGTTTATCTCTCTCTGAGGGGACTTTCTCATATCTAACAAGACTGTTTCATCTCAGAAAGCAGGTTTAAAGGATCTTTTATTTTTGGTAATTAGGAGTTACCAAACTAGAAGCAGTGCCTGAAGGGTTAGTAGTAGCAAGCAGGGAGGTGCTGCTGGAGGAGAATCCAGCATATGGATGGAGGAAGATCCCATAATATCTAAGGTGTTGAAAGACAAAGCAATAAAGCAAGTCAAATGGTGATAAAGTTATTTGCCTGCATATGAAATAAACGTTAAGTCTCCTATAAGTACACCTAGGATTGCATTGCCCAATAAAGCAGTAGTTTTATTCAGGGCCAAATGCTTGCAGAGTAGTTTCCAGTTTGAATATACACAATGAGAAATTAGACTGATTTGCATGGTTATGGCATAGCCAAAAGCATGCTGAGGTGTTTGAGTTCAGGCATTGATCATTGTTCGGGTGCTTTCAGTTTTGATTTGATTATACAGAACTGCTATAAACAGTTTCTGAATAACTTCTGAACTTGAGCCCTATTTATGAGGCAGGACAGGTCCAAAGTTTCACATACTATTTCAGTTCACAAACACTGCTGTTCACATGTGACTGAACTTGTATCTGGGCAAAATCTTAGGCAGACTAAGGGGGGCAACGTATGGTAAGCCTTTTTCTTTTGGGATGGAGTAACTTTCAGCTTATGATTCTAACCAGAACACTGTGGATGCAGTAATTTGACCTGTGCTGTTCAGTCTGTGCTAGTTTGAAGCACCTTGCATCAGATTGGACAGGAACCCTGCACGAAGCTTGGAGGAAGGGCTCCATTCATAGAGAGCAGGAGCATCACCACAGCTTTTTCTTTTAAAGAACAACAGTTTCACTTCACAAGTTTGCAGGTGATCTAGCAAAAAATACATGAAACAAGACTAAGTTGTGAATCACACATGAGCTGCTGTAAGACTTGAGGCTGTCAGACAGCAGAGGGGCTATTGCTCGGCTAAACCTCTCTCAGCAGAGTGAGCTGCAGTACTGCATACTGAGAATAGGATATACTTGTGAGATTTGTTTCTGATAAAATAATATTAATAACCTGATATCTTGTGGAAGGACTCTGGAAGTGCAAAAATTACAAAGCATGAGCCCACCTGGAATGAACTATTTTAGATTGCTTCTAAAATTGCACTTAAAATTAGGGAAATAGGTATTCTCCACAACCAATTTTCCCTTTCTGTCCTTTCTTCTCCCAAGGCTTTTCATTTCCACATTTCCAAACACATCAGTTTTAAACCACATGGAAAAGGCCAGGCCATTCACTACTGCGGAAAGTGTTGAACAAGACACACTTCTGGAACCTGGCCACCAGCTGTGCCACATTTACTTTAGTGAGGCTCCTGCTACATACATAAGGTCTTTAAATTAAATAGCAGCTATGATAAATAAGTAAATAAAAATCCCAGCTCTCTGGAAAGTGGGAACTGTTTTCCCTCTTCCTTCATTATGACTAGAAGCTCTCCCCTCTGAGGCTAGAGAAGAGCTAGCAGAGCTGCCTGCCCAGTAGCATCCCAGCAGCTGCCAGCTACCCCAAATGGCTCAGCGTGCCCGGGAACATCAGCGCTGGCCAACGTCATGCAAAAGGGCTGGTTGGCTGCCTGCGCAGACCTGCACAGCTATGTGAGTGTGTGCTCTGCGAATACCAGCAGTACCACCCAGACTTCAGTCATTAGCCTAAGGTCATCGGTACATTTCTGTGCATGGGAGTGTCTGCATTTTATGTATCACTATGGCTTGTCTGGGTGTGTATATATTTGTTTGTGTGCTTGCTCTGTAATGATCCAACCTATCTTACATGTATATTTTAAAATATTTTTTAAAAAGAGGGTAGATATCATTATCTAAGGGAAAGGGAAGTGCAGGGTCAGAGGTTATGCCCTTTGCTGAAGGATACAGAGCCAGTAATTGGCAGAGACGTGCACTGGTACACCAGGTTTCTGACACAAAGCCTGCAGTCTCCACTAAGCCATGTTACTTTTTTTGCCTCTTCTGTGTAGGAAGCATTCCGAATTGTAGATTATCTATCAGGCATTTATGCCGTTGTTCTTCAGAAAGCCCTGTGGCAATGGAGAGAGGAAATGCTATTTCTTTCCTTTACCACTTCTGCTGTTACTGACAGCAAGACTTAAGCTCAGCAACAATTTACTCGACTAAAGCCTGAACAACAACTAACTGCTAACAAGCTCATGTGCATCCTTCAGCAAACGTTTGATACAGTGACCAGCCAAGTCCAGCTGCATTCATTTCCAGTGACCAAAGCAGGTGGTCATGGACCCAATTATGACTTCGAACGCTAAATCAGAGTCCTGCAGATTACCCAATCCAACAATTAGTCCAACCCTCTGCTTTGCTGCAGGTTTGTTTATAATGATCAGTCTTTTTTGAAATTATTAGTTTGGGTTATTATGGCAGAATTTACTGAACAGAAGGCTGTTTGGCAGCTTTCAGTTTGGAATTTTTTTAAGAATAGTTTTTTCCCCAGAATTTTTCAGTAAAACAAAAACATAGAAGGAATCACTTCTGGGAGTGTCACATTTTGTTCATAAGATGTTTTCTTTAGCAACATTATTCAAAGAAGTCTAGAAATAAAATTCATTCTTAACCAATAAATTAAATAATTTCAACTTAAAAATGTCTGAACAGACAGGAAACAATCTTTTGAATTTTTTTTTTAACCAAACACAATTTCTGGAAACAGCATACATTATCAGTATGGCCTATTCTGTGCTTCTCACAGAAACGAAAATTTACATGACAAATGTGCCCACCTTCAAAGTAGACTATAAACTCAGAGAACCAACTGAATAAATCACTTTGCAAGAGGCAAATACTTTCCTCTGGTCTTTTTTTAGACTGCAACCTCCTAGGGCAGGGATAGTCTTTATTTTATACCATCTATTGGAACAACCCGCTGCTGAAACTTAAGAAGTAATAGTTTCCACCAGACTTGATTCACATCATAAAAATCAGCTTGTGCCCTCTTGTTGACACCTCTGTGTAGGGCAGGAACTGAGCAGATATTCAAACTGGATGTTGCTTAATTTCAAGTAGAGTTAGTGAGATAATATGGTGTAGAGTGAAGAATTTGCCCATTAGAATAACATGTTGGGGTTTCTTTATTCATTTCTCAGCTCTTAACCACATTCTCACATCTCATTGTAGATTGTGAACTACAAGCCACATATGAAACTAAAGGAGTCAAGGAACCTATGTGTATTTTTGTGATATACAACATAATTTCAACACTTACCCGTGTACTGGCTGTGTATCCATTGAACCCCATTCTGTTACAGGAAAAATAATAAAAAAAATCTTTTTCCTACTTTTTATCTTTTTATATGAAGAAGACAGACAAGCTTGAAACAAACTCCATTCCTTTTCCTTCCCTTTCTGCCTCCCCTGCAAAATCAGTTAAAAACATAAATCCTGAGGCTATAATTTGATGAATTTGATCTCTTCTTTTATAGTGGTACTAGCAGACAGGTTAAATCACTGGGCATACCCAACAGGTAGAGCAGAAAAGAGGCTTTCTGTTTGGTATATGCTGCTTTTCCACAGCAAAGCAATATGCGTCCAGAAGTCTTCAAAGATCAAATTCTGTTGCCTTTCTTTCTCTGTCATTGTAAGGTATTCTGAGGAATCTGATGCTTGAGATAAAGGAAGGTCAAGCCACAGGTGTTCATGGTCCTGAGTATCCTCATCTTTCGTAAGGCTCTGCTAGGACCTGTGGAAGCCATATGTGTGCCTATAGAGGCTGGTCTCTTTTCTTAGTGCTGTTCAAAATTGCAATGCCCCTGCACGTGAATGGACTTATGGACAGATTTGATAACTTCTTAGAGGACCACATTCCTTAAATAACTTGTCAGCATCTTGTTCCTGCAATTTTTTTGAACATAAGATCAAGAGCTTGCCCCATGGCCCTGTAAATCAGCAGGGCTCTGTTAACCTGGGCAAGCTTGAATGTAGATGGAGGTGCTGGACATGCTTTCCTTATTTCGCTCTTTGTTATGCAGTGTTTTCCTAATGTCATGCACATATTGTACAAAGCAGAGATTTACATATTCAGTATTGCCATCAGAAAGCTCCACACTAAAGGCCAGATTCCAAAGCCTTTACTCATGGTGAGTAGGTCCCTCCTCCATGAGTAATGCCTTCGAGATTAGGGAAGCTCCTGGTGAAATGAAGTGTTACTTAACACATGGTAAGCTTTAGAGCCTTTCCCTGTAAAATTAGGGGCAAATATTGTCTCTTCCCCTCCTGTACTTCTAGGTTGATCTGATCCCACACATACAGATCCTAGGTAGGTTAGTGTCATGTGGGAATGAAGTCAACAGAAGAAACATGTGTGCGGCAGCCTGGTATCGGAGACAAATCAGGGGAACTCAACCCAAATTATCCCCCACCTCTATGGATATCTCAAGGATCTGGCAGTTCTTATACACCCAACACTCCATAAGTATTTTCTGTAGCTGGACAGAATGTGTGTCCCACTCTATGAGTTCTGGGAGAGAGCAGCTCGTGAGTTGCTACAAGGGACAAGCCTTCTCTGCTGTTTAAAACTAGCTCCAGTGGTGGTGGATGAAGACCATTCACTCCCCAGAGGAAGAAGAAGAGGTGTTCTGTGTATGTAAATGCCTTAAAAGCTGGAGAATAGTGCCTAAGGACTTCCACTTTTGCTTGCCAGTATTAATTCAGTGCAAGAGGAGAGCAGCTGTACTGCGTCAAATTGAAATTGGTGTTTCTATGACACCTCTCCTTCCCCATCCCAAACAATCCCAGTGGCTGCTGTGGTGTTACACCTTTCCTGAGACAACAATTGTGCTTCTGTCCCTGTATTTAACAGCCCTCAAGGAACTTGAATTCTTTCATGCATTGCTCATATGCATCACAACATCCTATGGCAAGTAGCTTCACAGCACAACTGGGCACCAAAGGGAGAAGCCTTTGGTAAAATAAGGTTCTTGTGGAGTGTGGGGTAGGGGGCCTGCAGAAGATGGTCACTGAGCTCTCCTCTTCTTGGGCAGGTGTCAGCAGCACAAGTTTCCCAATGTCCTGACTTTGTCCCCAGCAAAACTGGTGCTGATTAGCAATGCCATTGCTATTTGTGTGGTAGTTATCTGTGTTAGAGGTAGTTCTCTGTGGTATTTAATTCTTAAAGAAAACTTCTGTGCTGTTTTGAATATGAAGTCTAATCTTCCGGCCTTGAGTAGAGGCATATTGGTGAAACATTGGAAGAGAGCTTGTAGGACTTGTTATACTTGTTCTGTGAATAAGATGAAGCTTTCTGCTTCTCAGACTGTCCTTCTGAGGAATTTTACTGGCACTAAAGTAAACAAATGCCTTTCCTAGAGAAATGCTGCTATTTAAAATGCTAAGGCTGGATTTTTGTTTTAAAATGGAAAGAAAGCAAATACATCATTCCACTCTGCCAGTGGTAGTGAATTATTTGTGTGCTTTGGACTGGCCTATAGGCACATACACAACCATTATGTAGCAAATCCCACCTAAGTTCAGTGCCCCTTTTCACAATAGGCTCTGAGTAAGTCTGAGTGGGCTCCATATCAAGGGCAAAAGGGAGGGTTGAAGCATCTATACTAGTTGAAACCATGGAGATTGCTGTTCATGGCCTCTGTTCCCCCTATCCTTTCCCATGCAATACAAACGAATGGCCTCCTCCAAGCTTTTACCCTTGTTTTAATTCCTCCTAGAAAATTAAGTGTCAGATGTTCATACTAATGTAGTGGTTAACCAGCCTGTGGTAAAAACTCTTGGCTGAACTGGCTTGATTTATACTGCTCTTGTCACCATAGCAGTAATTAGAGTGATCAGAGCAGCAATGCCAATGCTGTATCTCATTGACTTTGCTCTCTTTCTATTTCAGGGAAGAAGCTTCACTTAAGAAGTGAGAGTGCAGGGGTTCCCTCAGACAGAAAACCCCATCTCAGAGATACCAAACCAAAATCACGGTGAAAGGTCAAGATTTTAAGAATACCTAGCATTCCTAAAGCCTTTCCTGTCTTTAAAGCACCATGTAGTTATTAAGTTGTTATTCTTAAAAATTGTTTAGGTATTTGTGCTACTCATTATCCCCATTTTACATAGGGAGGGTTAGGCTCACACAGACTTCCAGCTTTTGAAGCTCTGGCTCCTACTTCAGCACCTAATTTTTTTAGGCCACACATAGCAATTTACCAACTTTGGGACAGACTTTTTTACCTTTTTGCACTAGTAAGCTGTGCGGGTCTCCCAGAAAAGCAGTGATGGGCTCCCACTAGTGTCTTTGAGGCATTTTCATTGTCATTCTTATTTTCTCTTGCCTCCTTCTTTGTACTCATATAAGCCTGGTGTTCATTTACGGTCAATCTTCTGGTTCTTGAGAAACTGTAAATGAAAGGCGATCTCCTTGGTTTCCTTTCCTGAGGGAAGTCTGCGTGAGCCGTGGTCAACTCTGCAGGGAAGCCTTCTGACTTCTGTGTGGGCTTGTTCAAGTAGATCTGGCTTCTGTTGCACTTTATGTTAGCTTCAGGGGTGAGATGCAGAGATAAAAACAAAGGTCAGGAGCAGATCTGTAAATGACAAACATCAGAATCATGGAGCACATATGCCTCTCTCATTAGCTATAACAACTTTGGAAACCTTGGACTGCACCGATGTCCTGATATAGTCTCTTTAAACTTAAAAAACAAGCCCGGAGAGAGCATTTAGACACACTGCAGTATGCTCCAATTCAAATAAGGTCATGGAGTTGCACTCTCTAAACCTGCCATTATTCCTGAGGCACTACAAAGGACATCAAGGATACATTTCAACTGTTTCAAGTCAGACAATCACAGCTTCTTGCCAGCTTTTGATTTTTTAGTCTGGAAGCAAGATGCACGCAGTCATTACATCTATTGGTCCCCAGCCCTGTTAACTAATTTTAACCAAATCCCATGGAGGAGTGAGGATCTCATGAGCCTTGTGAAATCTGGTGGTATGTAAAGAGGAGGTACTGCAGCCTCAGCAGCTATCTGTTGTGTCACTCTCAGCCCACATGTCCAATTACCATGCATACATCTCCATACTGGCTGTCTCTTATCCTGTGTGGAGGGTACAGGAGGGTAGTGTAGATGGCAGACAACAAGGGGAGAAAGCAAAATCATTTGTAGAAAACCAGTCTCCAGTAGTTCCACTGCTGAGAGGCCGAGGAATTTGTTACTTGCTCCATATAGAACGAGCATTTCTATATGCTGCAACCTTATAGAAAACAGGCAAAATCTTAAACCACTCATCCATGTCCAGACTTATAATTAATTCCCACAAGACCCTCATCTCAAATTAATAGATTGGGCAAGGGACATAATGAAAAAGCACTCACCCAAATAAACCAGAAAAGCCAAATTATTGGTTTGCATGAGTAAGCACTGGCTGGGTAAGCAAGGGCTAGGCAATGTAGCATGAACTCACAAAGAAAGAACATTATTGAAGTTTAAATTGATAAAACCTTGAGGAAACTTGAGTCATTGGTGATAAATTTCTGTCTTCAGAGGAAATTAGGTTTAAAGGAAAAGGAGCTGGTTTAAAATATATTTAACATCTCAAATTTCATGTATTTATGCCAAAGTTGCTTTCCCACTCCCACAGACTGGGAATAGAAATTGTGGTCCTCACTTGCCTCTTTGAAAACTGCAGCATCGGTTGTTTTACAGTCAAATAAGCAGTGAGGTCAGGAAGGAAGCAAGTCTGGAAAAGTTAATGCTCTTGCGCTGGGTTTCATTTTTTAAATTAATTGGGTCTCTAGTTCTGCAGAAGTGGCTGGGAAAGGAAGTAATGCATGAAATCAAATGATGAGGAGCTTGTAGTTTGGGGAGCTGCTTATGAAGATGGGATGATGGAGAATGTGAAGTAACCTATCCAATCTGACCCATTTCAGAAAAAAAAAAAAATTGGCAGGAGACAGGTTTCTTTATCTTCATATATCCCCGGGCTGTTTCACGGTATGCTTTCTATTACATCAGGATATTGCATTCTTACCAGCGGTGCAGGATATCACACACTAGTAGCTGAGGGTCTGATGGAGGTGGAAGTGTGCACACGGAATGGATTAGAGGTTCACATCCTCTTGCTGTCATGTCACGTGAGGATTTTAAGGACTGAATCTGAGTTTGGAGAAGAGGAAGCTGCAGAGACAGCTATATCTTAATTACCTCTGGAAAGTTTACTGAAATGCTCAGAGAATTGCTCATCTGTCTGAACAGAAAAGCTGTCGAGAGCTCAAGAAGTAAATACCAGAGCGTTGAGATCAAACACATATCCTGAGGTGTATTGGGGACTATGTTATAAATAGGAAGGAAGAAAAAGCTCAGGAGCATTCAGGTGACCCCTCTCAACCCCTAGCTATGTTTTGACAGCATCTAAAATGTGATGTCAGTTCTTGATTATCTGGTTTGTGGACTAACTAACTTTGCCCTGATTCAGTAGAAGCACCTGATTCCTGTGGATGCAGTGGCCAGCCCTGGCTCCCAGCCTGCCTGTTCACTGGTGTGTGCCACTGGAATAGCTCCCCGAACAGCTGCCTGGCTGTTTTCAGCCTACTCTTTTCATTAGAGGTCTTATACGTGTTTTGTGTTATCCATGGGTTTACTTCATCTAGTTTATCTCGCAGTATTGGGTAACGGGTAGTGCTTGGCATTCTCATCCCATTGCCATTTTCATATCAAGCGGTTTTCTAGGTAACCTGTAAAAGACTGTGTTTGTTTATGTTCTGGGTTTGGGGTCAGCCCAGTTTGGAAACCTCAAAGACTGAAGCTGGGATCCAGGTCCTGTCTTGCTTTCTATAGATTAAAACTTTGGTAGGAACTCAAATATTTCATTGTTGTTTTCTTTTTTTTCTAGAAACAGCAGATTGTGGGCAAGGGTATTGGCAAAGAGAAAAGAAAATAAGGAAGAGAGTAAAACAAAAAATTTGTAAAAGCATTCTGATATGGATTGGGAGTGTGCTTCTGAGTGTGATCCTCTTCGTGCCATGGCCTTGGGGTGAGTAACCTGCGTTTCTTCCAAACGGAGTTAAGCTGAAAGATGTGCTTCGGAGGCGTACATAACATACCATGACAAGTAAGGGACATTCAGTCCATAGGATCACAAGAGGCAGTCTGAACTAAAATGCTCAGGAACACATGCAGTGAGGATGTCAGGGCCTGTGTTGCAGTTGTTTTGCTTTACAAATCCAGTCCTCCAAAACCGTGTTACCCAAATCTCAGTTTTCAGTATTGTACATTGCTATGTTTGCCAAACTGCCTTAAGGCCTTCCCCAGGGGCATTTACACTGGATCCTCCTCATTTGAAAATAAAGATGCCATTGCTGGAAAGTCAGGCACTTTGTGACCTCTCTGATTTCCAGAACCTGCTCTTCTGCTCAGTCACACTTGCTGATGGTCTCCAACATGCTGCAGAAAACATTTGCCTGAGAAAGATTTTGGAAGTTAGAGGTATGATAAAAGAAAAAAGGCAACTGGTTGCCTGGCCATGTTCTATGGGATTTCTTTCAGTGCAGTTGTAATATCTCCAGGATTTTGGTTGGGTTAATCATATTGAACTGACCAGCCTTTGCCACATATGTCTTTATTACTTAGCTATGCAGTGCTGAATAAAATGTGATAGAATTTTTTCTAAAGCGTAATGGCTTATTTTGCTTTAAATAAAAATTACCATCTACTCTGTGGTTAAAATACTTTGGGGACAAAACCTCAAAGCTCATGACAGAAAAGTTCTTTTTCCATTCTCTTCAGTGACAGCTTTGCTATTGGGCTTAGTTTTCCTGTGGAAAAATGCAAGGTAATGATTTCAGTGGCATATCTCTGGAGTCACAGAGAAGCAAGAAGCAAGAAAGTGTCTGTAAACATTAGGGTTCTTACTGTCTAACAGGGCTGGGAAAATGAGTCAAGGTAGAGATACCTCCTTAGTGAAAAATAAGGAGTGGATATAAGGGAAGGCTGATTTACTTTATATTTGCTAGCCTAAATAAGGATTGGTAGCTGTAGTTGTTTAGCAGAATCACAGTGTTGCAATCTCTTATCATTCTTATCTGTGTCGGCTTTGGATGCAAACAGCAAGAGATGGCTGAATCTGAAGAAACCCCCATTAGCCACACCCTTGATGCAACTCACATTCTTTGTGCATTTACTCAGGGCTACCAGCTTTCCTCACTCTCTCTTTGCTGTAGATTTCTCAGCTCTGCAAACACCCAAGGAGACAATATTTTGAGCAAATGGTATTGAACATGGCATTGAACTTTGTGTGGGAGCTGGGAAGGGGTCAGTCAAAGGACTTGGAAGGGGCAGGATAAATACAACCAACGCCAGCCAATCATCACACCTGAGCTTGGCTTCATGCCACTTTTACTCTTCCTGTGGCATGGGCTTGTGTTTTGTTGTCCCCATCTCTTTGTCACTGTGGACATACGGGGGCTATGACAGGCTATGCAGTGGGTCAGGAAATAGGTGAGCAGGGCTCATTTTTTGCTTGTGCAGAAGGGACAGTGACAGTAATGCAATTAGCAGTATCAGTGTTCATAATCAAACACCTGCTGTTACTAGTCACCCATCTTGAAAAACTATACAGTATGATCTGGTAATGTTCCTCCTCTGCACCAGTACAGGCTGGGAGCGGACCTGCTAGAAAGCAGCTCTGTGGAGAAGGCCCTGGGAGTCCTGGTGGACAAGCAACTGTCCATGAGCCATGTCCATGAGAGGGGACCATATGAATGTATATATGTAACTGAAGGGAGGGTGTAAAGAGGATGGAGCCAGGCTCCTCTTGGTGGTGTCAAGCTACAGCACAAGAGGCAAAGGCCAGAAACTGATGCACAGGAAGTTCCCTCTGAATGTGAGAAAAAACTTCTTTGCTGTTTGGGTGACCAAGCACTGGAACAGACTGCACAAAGAGGTTGTGGAGTCTCCCTCACTGGGGATACTGACCTGTCTGAATGCAATCCTGTGTAAAGTGCTCTAGACTGACCCTGCTTGAGCAGGGAGGTTGGACCAGATGACTGACTATGGTCCCTTCCAACCTTACTCATTCTGTGATTCTGTGTTAGCTCTGCTTCTACTGACATCCGATTTATTGACAGCATGTTCAACTGTGCTGCAATCATAGAGTTGTATGATTTCTGGTTGAGTGAAGAACTATATGTAGTATAGCAATATCAGCGTAAGTCACCTTAACAAAATACAGAAATAAGGCAGAAGCTTGTTTTTATGTAGGCAGTTGATGTACTGTTTAGTGACAAAGATTTTGTATATAACATACCTTATTCCATGACAGTATCAGTCCTGATGTCCTTACCCATACAAACTATAAAACTTAGTGAGGTAAGAACACAGCAAGAAATGTCTAGTTTTGGGACTTATTAAAGTTTGTGAAAAAACATGGTAGTCCCTACATGAAGTTACAAACACCAAAGGGATGGATGCTTTTAAGCAGGGAATGTATTCTACCCTTTGAAAATATCTACTAGATGGCAATGGAGACGCCATATTACCCAGGAGTTCAACTGAGATTTTGTGAGAGGGGAAAGATTAACTATACGGCAAGTAAATATGCATATTTTTGTCAATATGGTTATTCTTATGAAACCCTGATAACATTTTTCAGTTTATGTTACCAATTGCAATGTTTATCGTCAATACTGAAAGAATTTGCTATAGCATTTTTTCTCTTATAATTACTTTAGATGTTAATCAAAATGCACAAAACAATTTTTTTTTCTGCTTTCTACTGGATAAAATTTGGGGGTCTTTTCAAGGAGAAGACATAATTCAGAGAATAGATATCTCACACTTTCTCCCATGCAACAGCCACACAGGTTGCATTTTTATACTTACTGTTTTGTTGCCTACTTTCATTAGCATATGAGCTGGTGCTGCAAATCCCCAACAGAGTTTAAATAATATTAAAAGTCTGTTCCTGATTTAAGTAAATTTTCCCTGAAAAATGCAACTCTGAACTTCATGACTGAGATGACAGATAAAACCTGGACATGAAAACAATAAAGAACATGTAGGAACCCTTCGGAGATAATACTATGATCATGTGTTGAAATACTGTCTGTGCAATTTACTATAACTAAGGTTTGATTTCAATACCCATGTGTGATTTCAATACTCATGTGTTTGTTGTTGTTGTCCTTTCTAAATGATGCTATACAAACAAAAAACAGCGTTAAGAGAGAGAGAGAATCTGAGTGCGTAAAAATGCATCCCTTTTCATCAGGGACAGTCTCTAGAAGCAGCATGATCCAAGAAGGTTTAAGCAGAATGTTTAGAATGAATAGCTCTGGAGTGATAACCCTAGCTCTGCCACTAACACTCTGCCCAAGGCAAATTATTTTACATCTATAAAATGGAAATGATAGCTACTAACCTGCTTTACAAGAGATTTGCAAAGATAAATCAGTTAATGTTTGTGCAATGTTTTCAACATGCAAAATGCCATAAAGCTCCATGAATTATTACCTGAGCCCTTGCTTTAAAACCTCAGTAGAATACAAACTACAGTGCAAAATACAATGTCAACTATCTCAAAAAACATGCAAAATCTGAGCAAAGTGATTCTAAACCCCTGCTAATTCAGCTCTACTTCATTTCTCCTCTTCCAGTAAAAGGCCTGCCCTTTAGAATCACTTTTGCAACACAAAGAGAAGAACTGCATTGCTATCCAGGAATGGTTGCTGATGAATTTTTTTGGAGGGCAAATGCTGACCCACTCTCAGTGGATAATGAAAAACAACACGTTTTTGTTTCATTTAAGGAAAGGACCCAGTAGCAGGGATTTCTTTACTCTTGAGAGGATTTTGAGACTCTATTCTTTTTTGAGGGAATGTGGAAGAGATATGAGAATTAATCCTGCCTTTTCCACTGATAGGAAAATCAGTTATTCATCCTCTTAACAGCTTCTCTCCACATGTGGCAAAGTAATCAGCTCAGTGGTGCAGGCAAGTGGTCGTGAGCAATTGCAGCCAAATTCTGCAATCCAGAAGTATCTTCATATGAAAGAACTACCAGCTTCCATGGACTTCACTTAAGAGGTCAGCATGTTTAGGCTTAATATATAGAAGACAGGAGATATATACATACCATGAGGCAAGCAAGTAAGAAGAAAGCTGAAAAAAGATATTGTATTTAGTATTCTCACGATGAACTATCAATTTAAAAATTCGTGGTCAAAAGACTGGCTTTTGTCCCATGACCTTTGATGCATGCACACATACAGCTGGTAATAAAAGTTTTGCAACATGAATATTGTATGACCTTGGTAAAATTCATGTAATTACATTAGATTTAAAGGAGTTGCACCAAAGGCAGTCACCGGGTATGTGACCAGCTGTTTAGGGAAAATGTCATGTTTGAATTCAAACCATTTCAAAAGCTGTTCAAGGCCTGAAATTCCTGCCTGTGATAAGCTTCTCAAACCACAGTCTTAGAGTCTCTTTATGTATCTCATGACCTTGGCAAGCAGAGCACAATGCCACAAAAATAACACATTTGTGCTCACAAAGGTGGGAGGATGGAATCTACGGCAGCTTGCTGTGCAGCCCCTTCAGCAGTACTGCACTACCAGCAGCAGATGAGAGTATCCTGTAGCGGATATCTGCAGTGTGGGAAAAAAAATTAAAGGGGAAATTGCCTAGGCTCTCCTTGCTCACCATGCTGGCAATGAAGGAGGAGTTTAGTTTGGATCAAATACTTGAGTTTATGTGCATTTATGTCAGGACAGTACATGATGGGAGATGAAGCAAGCATGAAATGTTCCTGCTCAGTATAGCAGGTAGAATCATTATTGCACAAAAAAAAGTCTGCAAAGCAAGTATTTGTTCTTTAGCATGTTAGGACGGGACTTGGACAAGTTTCTCCACCAAGTTCACATGCAAAAGATGTTTTCTTTTTTTCCTATGTTTAGTTTGTTTTTCATTTGTCACTTTGAATCCTTTCTTTTTCTAGATTTTAAAAACTATTGCCTCCTACATTGAGCTTGATGCTCAATGTCCACATCTAGAGGCATATTTTTATTTAGTACAGAACTGAAGTTCATTTCTTGGCTATCTTAATTGCACTTCCTTTCTTATAATGCAAGCTGTAATCATCAGTGTGTGCTGAGGATGCTTTGCAAATCTTCCCTCCCTAGAAGCTGATCTCTTTTTCCTGGGTCTCTCACTTTTAAAGATCCTCCTATTTGTCTAAATAAATCAAAATGAACCACACACACACTGTGTTTACAAAGTTGCACTGTATGAGAATCTTGGAAGGAAATTGCATTAATATTGTATTGTAAGCTGAGGTTCTGCCCTCAGTTACAACCATGAAACCAATCACATGAGTAGAGTTCCTGGGATGTTAATAATGTCTGAGTTTACCTCGAAGTACATCTTTCACATTATTTACAAAATACAATCAAACCAGAATGTCAGCCACAGCATTCAAAAGCTGAGTTGTAACCCAATTCCTCTTAATAAATGATCACAGGCATGGTGAGATGATACACGGTTAAAGCTGGTCAGGTGCTAGGATAAGTAAATGAGTTGGTAGTTTTCTTTGCCTGGTTAAGACAGTAACTAGTTAAACTCTCAGAAAAAAAAAAAGATTTTACAGAGGAAGTTGACTGGTAGAAGAAGAGTAAGGTATCTCTCGGAGGAACATGCATAACAGAGGAAAGTAAAGGTACACTCAGTGGCTATTTTGCAATCTATTGTGTTCCAGTGCCCTGTGATAGACACAGGCATTTAGCACGTAGTTTCCCAAACCTCCTGTCGTTACTGACTTCAGTTCTGGAGTTCCCACTTAATCATTACAGTTTTAACACTTCATATCCTATTGCCTGTGTAACCCAGGTCTTCTCAAGAACTTTATGAAGAAATTACCCATCATCATTTCACAAGTTTGAGTGTTGAATCATGATTTACTCGAAGAAATCCCAGCCCGGACAAGTGGCACTTTTATGTCGTATTTACGTACCTGAGCGACAAGACAGTGCTTCCTCCCACTTTCCAGAGGAACAGCCTGTTAGAAAAAGAGCTTGTAACCATAAGCACGTTTTAATGAACACTGAATAGCTTGGTTTTGCCTCTTGGAGGGAAGGAGCACTGTACATGCCCTCTTTTGTTTAATGTCTGTGGATGTCCCTGGAGCACCTCAAAAAACCTTGTATGATTGTGTGTTCATTAAGTAACTTGCTACGCGGAACAAGGAGCACTTTCTCACTGCTGGTGGCAGGGGAATAGAAACGGTACGGGCAGATACGGCCCCTGTTATCCGTGTGCTAAAAACACACAAATTCAGCGCGGTTTTATTTCACCCACACACTTGGCCTTGCAAGTATTGGCAGCAAAATGCCGAGAACGAGAGCAGGACTATTCGCAGAGGCCAAGCGGGCTCCGCTGATTTCGGAGAGAAGAAACGAGGCCGGAGCTCCGGAGATGCTCCCCTAGGGAGCAGACAACCTCTGGAGCGGCTTCGCCGCTGCTGCTCCCCGGTAAAAGGCCTCAGTCCTTCCTCGCTCGCACTCCTCTACCTGGCGCTGCAACGGGACAGTTCTCCCTAAAGAACGGGGCAGGACAGCGTTTCTGCTGCAAACCCCCCCGGGGCGCCCGCACTCCCGCAAATCCTCTGCCCCCCGTCAACACTCCCGGGAGGAAAGACAGAAGCTGTGCCAGGGCCACGCCACTTTTTTGCGAAAAGCGGCGCAAATGCACGCTCATGCCTTTGGCAGCTGCCGGACAGAAGCTGCCGGGAAGTAGAAAATCTCCCCCACCCTTCCGAGCAAGGACGAACGACTAAACTACCTCCACCCCACTCATACCTCCCCTCGTGCCATATTCCGGGACAGGTGGCGGGTCCACCCCTTCTCCACCTGGGCGGGGAAGGCGCCGCCAGTTCCTCCTCCCCCGTCCTCCTTGCTCCCTCCCCATCCTCCTCCTCCTCCTCCTGCTCGGCGTCCCCAGAGGGAGCCCCTGTGCTCCGCGAGTGAGCAGAGAGCGCAGCCGGGCGCACCCCGTCCCACAGCCGGCTCCAACCGCTCCGCAAGCCCCCGCGCACCCGCCGCCGCCTGCAGCAGGAGGAGCAGAGGGGGGAGGAGGAGGAGGAGAAAGGCAGCAGCCCGCCCGCAGCGGGGCACGCACGTGTGCGCGCAGACCTCGACGGTCGCCCTCCAGCATGCTGCTCGGAGCCGCGCAGGGCAGAGCGCCCGAGAGGAGCTGAGCGCGGCCGCGGGAGAAGAGAGGAGCAGAGCAGGAGCGGCTCCGCGGAATCCTCTGCGCGCCCGTCCCGTCCGACCCCCCACCCACTTCGCCGAGGGAGCGGCGGTCCCGCAGTATGGGCGGCCGCAGCCCCCTCGCCGCTGCCGGGCCCCGCCGAGCCGCTGTCCTGGTGCTGCTGCTGGGGCGCCTCGCTCTCTGTCTCGCCGTGGAGGGAAAGAAAGGTAGGAGGGCGTGGGGGGCCGGGGCGCGGGGGTCCTGCCGCCGCTTTGCCGGCTGCGCCCCGGGAGACTGCCGTGGGGAGCGGAGAGGGGAAAGTCCAACTACTTTTTTTCCTTAAAAAAAACCAAACCAAAACCAACCAAAAAACCAGACACCGAAAAACCCACCCATCCAAAAACACAGAAAAAGGAGAAAAGGGGAGAAAACCAAAGCTGTAACAGCGATCACGCAGCCCCGACTTCCTGATTCTCGGTTTATTTTCTTTTGTGGGGGTGGAGGAAATAAATGGGAATAAGCCTTGGCACATCTCATCGTTTGTGCTTCTTTCCTTTTGGTGTTTCTTTTTTCTTCCTCCCCCCTTCCCACGTTACCCAATCGCTCCCCGGAGCGCGCTCCCCGGCTCAGCCCCGCACCGCCGCTCTCGGCACCCCCGCGCCGTGGCGGCGGGGAAAAGCCGCGTAGTTCCCGAGTAAGCGCCGCTCCGGTAACCCGCCGTCACTCTGACCTGGACTCCTCCGCTTGTCCTGTTAGAAGATAATACTAATAATAGAAAAAAAGCATACACCTGGGACTGGGGTGACTGTAAAGAGGGGAAACTTCATGCGGGTTCTGGTTCCCCAGTTACCCAAAAGAGGAGTGATTTATCCCTGCCCGACCCGGCGCGAAGGAGCCGCCGTTCCGTCCCGTCCCGACCCCGCCGGCGCTGCCAGCCCCAGTCCGGCGGTGCGTGGGAACAGCATGGCGCGGGCTGGCTCTGGGGCTAGAGGCGTGGGGCTGGTGGTCGGGTTTTCCTTTTTCATTTGAGAAACTGCTTTAGAGGGTGAGAAAACGTTTCTGGCCGGTCAGACCCGTCGCTGTTTCTCTGTGTGTGGTGTTCTCTTTTGTGAGTTTGGAGAGCAGGCCCCGGCTGCTGTTCCAGCCGGAGAGCAGTCCTCTTTATCTTGGAAATCTGCCAGCCAGGGGAAAAAATGCAGATTTGGGTGGTTTGATTTTTTTTTTTCCCTTTCATTCTTTTTAAAGAAAAAGCGGGAGAAGAGAATTAGTTTTTAGAAGAGCTGGTGCATGCCTTACAGCAACTGAGTTAGTCTTTCGTGACTGTGGATAGTAAAGCCGCCCTGAAAGTGAGAAACACCCCATCCAAAAGAACTGGTTGCACAACCTTTAAAAAGCGGAGAGATTCTCTTGTTCCAGAAATCAAGTTCATACCTGTTGTTGATGTAACATAGGCAGTTTTTTCTTCCCAGTTTTCTTTTTATTTATTTATTTTTCCTCACCCTTTGAAACTGATGAGAAGCAAAGTGACTCCATCTGCTCTGCCTGCGTGAAAAGTGTTTTGAGGTGCAGTCTCAGGTGCACATGCCCTGTGGAATATTGGTAAAGTGTGAGGAGAAATACCTTATTTATAGTGTTTAATTCTGTGTCTCATAAACTTAGTAGGGTGCCAGTTATTTGAGGATTACTAAATAATCAACAGCTAAGTGATAAAGCCAGTGGAGATAATTCTTGGGATGTTGTGTCAGCAAGTAACTGTTCCTCTGGTAAGAGCTGGAGGCTCAGTGATAGAGGTGAAGGCAGAAGGATTTCTTCAGGAAGCATTAATCGATTCATTGGTCTTTATTAGTTTCGCTGTTTCTCCCCACACTTGAAGATAAGTAAGAAAATTACTCAGGAATACAAAATAAAGCAACATTTGAGAATTGTGAAATACTGATTTAAAGCAGCAGGCCCAACAGGTTAACAGAGTATCAGCACATGTTGGGGACTGCCTGCTTGGTCAAATGATAGAACCTAACATCAGAATTCAGAGCAATTTTGAAAGTAAATGTGC